ATTGTAAAAAGTAGGCTTAATGTCTCTGCTTTCATTCCGAAATAAACGAAGCAATTACTCGACATGTCAAAATTCGCTCCAGAAACACATTTCCTGTTACTTCCTGCAATGAAACTCTATTCTACACAAAGAATAGGCCAACTGGCACTAATTTATTTTTTTATTATCTGGTCTTGATTTTCAATTTTTATTTTAATATCATCGGGGATTTGTGCATTCATTTTGATCTTAATATTTTTCATAACTTAAATCACGTTGTAAATTAACTAATTTAATTGATTAATTTACGAATTTACTTAATTATCTCATATTTTTTCAAGTATTTCATAAGTATTTTTATTTTTATACAATAATTTTAATTTTAATTTTGTTTAGATACGAATAAAATTAAGAAACAATAGCAAAATGGGGATTCATCAAAAGTATATCAAGTCGGCATGCAAAGCCCGGATTTGCATATCAAAATCTCAGCATCCGCTATGACAAGGGTTAAGCTAATCGATTGAGCCTTTCTGGTGATCTTAAATATCTACTCATTTAGCATAAGTAGCAGGATTAGGGAGTGCATAATTAGGGTTGCATGGGGGCATTTAGACGGATTTATCAAAATGATTGCGCCACTATTTCGGTCCTAACTGTCAGCTAGCCAGAAGTACAAATCACGGCGAATGTGAGAGGGTTTCGACTTACCGAGAGCACCGAATTCTGGTTATCAATAAACGGCTCGCGGAGGTGCAGCTCCACCTTGCGGATGAGAGAGCCAACGTTTACCAGCAACTTTCCAATGAACCTAAGTGAAAGAACAACCGATGAGGTCAACTTTCTGACTACTTCTAGCGATAAAAAGTAGACTAATTCAAGTCTTATGGCATATTCAAGGAAGAAAGATGTGTACAAGTGTAGAATTATAGAAAGAAGGGTTCTTGCGTCAAGTGATGGCCTTCAAGATTCAAGATTTTTGGCCGTTTTGCACTCCTATTATCAGACCATCCTAGTAATAAATCAACAGAGAGTGGAGTTCACATGTTATGTACATACCAACATGTGGGATAGTGCCCAGCCTCAATAAAAGTATGGCATACAGTTTTGCATGATGTGTTAGTGATGCAAGAAGTGTCTTCAATATCTGCGTTAATGCATTGATAAAAATTAACTTGATTAATGTGCCAACGCACAAATGTTGTGGTTCAACATTGAACCAAATCAAAACG